ACTTGCTGGTAATCGATTGTGAGCTGAGCTTCGATCCCAAGACCTTCTCCGAAACTGACTTGCTTCAAGCTGAGGTTCCATTCAACCTCAGTGCCCTGATCTGGGGAAGGCCAGCGGTCTTGGTATACCCTTATATATCCCTGCTGACATTCACCTTCACGGCGAACCATCAGGACTTTTTTGTAGATGGTATGAAGGCGGCATTTACCTGTGAAAGCACCAGTTGGACCTTTTATCCACTTTACTCTCCACTCTGCTCCGTTAGGGAGTGCTCCAGACTCACTCCACTCGTGTTTGCGAATAAGAGTAACTGTTTTCTTGTCTTCACAGGCTGTAAGATAACAATTACAGTTTTGTTCAAAGAGACTTACCACTTTGATGGACTTTAAAAACTTGTCCATGATACATACATATATCTCTCATACACATAAACACACGATGTATATATACAACGTAGTAGACATTACACTCTAAATTAAATACTAGGCCTAATTTATGTAAGCAAGACCTGGAAGTGTGGTCCAAAAGTGCATTACACTCTACAAACTATATATTGATTATAGTGATAATAACTAATGATATGGTATGTTAATAATTAATTAATTAATTTATAAGCACCATGTAACACAATTGACTATAGGTTATGCGTTGTATACCAGCAGACAATGTTGAGTGATGAATATATCCCATGCTATAAAGTATAAAAGAAGAATGGTATCCTTAATGAAGTGCGTTGAATGAATGAGGTGCACATTATTAGTATCTTTCCTACATAACTAGACGTTTAGGCGACGGAATTTATCTGTTCAGCCTACTCAAGACCTCATAACCACTCGTAGCAAGATTCTTTTGAGATAGATATAAGATTCATTCTATTGGCAGTATAATAGCAAATTTTTATCAGTCGTAATGTCTGTTTCTGAAAAATTACTATATATTGCTACTGAGTATGAACATAGCATGCATTATCGTTACAGCAACTTCATCTTTACATTGAATGTTTGTCTACTAAACTATATATTAGCGAAACATACAAGGCATTGGCTTTTTTGCTATCTTGATAGTAGTCCAAACTAAAGAGTAAGGCCCATTCATTTCACCTTATTAATTGAAATTATTTTTTTTACTGAATCTCTATTTTATTTCTTCTTTACATTTATTGATTTTTACTAAACTAAAATTATTTTTGCTGAACTCAACCTATTTTTACTGAATTGTAATTATTTTATTGAATATTACTTCCTCTGTTTCTATTTAGTTGACGTGTTTGATTTAGGCACATGTATTAAAGAGAGGAGAGAGAGAGAAAATGAAAAGGCAAGTGGGGTAGCTTATAAATGTAAGGTAAAAAATTTATCCCAAAAGGAAATGTGTCAGCTAAAAAAAACTTTCTAAAAAGAAATAAGTGTCAATTAAAAAGAAACGGAGGTAGTATTTTCTTAAGGTGAAGTGAACCGGACCTAATTTGACATTTCTAAGTACGTGATCTAGAAAAATACATTGTCAAGTATTATATATATAGGAGTAATAATCTTGATGGACACGGTTTTAGTATCTAAATTACCAGTGTATCATAGAGTACGTTGCTGTACAAGTTTATGTTGCGGAGGACAGATCTTAGAAGGGTGCTCTTAGAATTTGTTACATGTTTTAGGGGTTTTAACAATATCGATCCTGCAAAAACAAGTAAGGATAATTGCATAGAAAATCAAATAAAATAACGAACGATATTTAATTTAGAAAGTAATAAACAAAACTGAAATTAAACCTTTAAGTTGGACCATCCATGCTAATAAAGAATGGGCGGCCCAACTAATTAGGGAGAAATACATAGATTCAAAGCCCAGTCCAACACCCTTTAATAAGGGCTCTCATATTTGGAAAAGGTTGGCCAACTTTCGAGCAAAGCCTTACCACATTACTAGGGTACCACACTACTTTTTGAAACAGACATTTTTTTTTTTTTTTTTGAAGAATTGAAGCAGACATTTGAATCTGGCTTACTAAGGTCTAAGGGTAACTGATTCACAATCAAAAGCTCAGATTCTAAACCCTCGTGATAAGCTGAAACTAACCAACCTACCTTATATGTGGTCAACTGGACACTGGTCAGTAGTATGAAAGTAAAGGTTACATAATACTATAGTAGTGTGAACTGTGAAGAGATGTTTGAATATATTATCCTTAAGAGAAATAATTTCTTGAAACATACTGAAATACTGATATAGAGTATAATATAAAACATATTTCTAGACTTTAACCATCATCTTAATCTTTTGGTTGAGTTGGTCTTTTAACATGGTATCGAAACCAACATGAATTCTGCTTATAAGATTAATACTGTTAAGTGGAGAAAGATGTGGAGAAAATGGCTTAGCCTCTAGAAATTAGAGAGGCATGATACCATGTTAAGTGGAGAAAGATGTGGAGAAAACGGCTTAGCCTTCTGTATTCCATTAATCACAAATATATACTCAATACAATAGAATATCTAACTTGCCTAAAACTCCTAACAAGATAGACTTGCCAAATATACAATATTCACATAAATATAACAAACCAAACTCCTAATAAATACAAAATCTCATGATATCATATCTCTAACAAAAATAAAAGGGTTTTATTAAGTTATGCCCTTGACGTTATTGAGTTTTCCTTACTAAGGTCTAAGGGTAACTGATTCACAATCAAAAGCTCAGAATCTAAGGTCTAATGTCTAAGGGTAACTGATTCACAATCAAAAGCTCAGATTCTAAGGTCTAATGTCTAAGGGTAACAGACATTTATAAGAACTTTTGGGCTGAATAATTTGCAATTCGCAAGTTGTGGCAACTCCTAGCTGATATGTTCAAAGCACAAGCAGGCAACATATTAGAAGAAGCAAGAAAGAATCAGAAACAAATAAAGATGCATTGGCACCCACAATACAGAGGGGCAACACAGTATGGCTCAAGCCAACTATCGTAGCCACGTCTGTCTCATCTGATAAATGCAGGTAGAGCATAGAACAGCAGATGAATGTTCAAGTGCAAAACACCAAAGAAACAGTTAATGTAAACTAACAAAGATGCATTTGACAACTGAGTTCACAACTTCACCCTTAGCAACTAGCAGAGTCAAAGTCAGCTAAAATATGGATAGATTAATACTTTATAATCCCATTCAACTACAAAAGGTTCATCCACGAATGAGTTCACCGTAAGGTAGGTATTACAAAGCAAAGGTAGGATAATTGCGGCTAATACACAGTAAGAAACTATAATTATGGGTGCACCGAGTCTGTATAGCAGCCTAGATAGTTGAATTGAAAATTTTAAAATCACAAAAGGAAATAAGTAACCATCTCTAGAGTCGCATGAAAATAGAGAAGTGGTAATTATGAAAAGTTCTGGCTGCCTATTGATTTTGTTGCGCTTGAAAACAGCATCAAGTTCTGCAGGAACAGAAAGGCCTACTTCTTTCAGTAAGAGCTGTCACAATTTTATTTTGACTGTGTCTGTGAGAAAGAGGAGCAAGAAGGACAGGAGTCAAGGAGGTTAACGAGCGTAGCCATGGAAGTAAATTACTCACTCCATGGTTTTTTTTTCTCATGAGAAATCTTAAAATGCTAGTAACATTAGATGCTTAGCAGATCACCCCTTCCCTAGTTGAAACCAGGCCATCTTTTCTCCCACGAGGCCATGATTGCAGGCAGAGTTTTAGAAGAAATTTTTTTACAGTAACATTTTTCTGGTTCCCAATCCATCAAAAAAGCAAATGCATTTAGAAAGAATTCTATTAGACCTTAAACCTCACAGAAAATTCAATCCACCTAGATATAGGAAAGGTTGTTACAGGAAAGAAACTGCATCAGAGTATCACAGTACACAGGTGTAAGCACACTTTCTTTAAGCATGAAATCATCAAAGCTCTACGTAATAAACACAGATTCCAAGGTTCAATTCAAAGGAACAATTATGAGATTTCCATCGTTCAGCTACCAGAATATGGTTCAATATCTTCTAAGATGAAGATAAAAGGCAGTTAAAAGAGGTTAAATAAGGTATTTACTTGATCATAATTGCATTTTCCCTCTGAACTAACACCAAAGGCTGTGATAGACCCAAAAGTTGACCACGAAAGTAAACCAAAAAAATGCCTCAATGCATCCCAGGCTCTACCAACAATTGAGTTAGGCTTGAAGCTAGAACGTGACCTATGACTACTAAAACCAGAGCTCGGGGTGTTGATACTAGATCGGTGGCCAAAGTAAACAATATTGTGTCCAGATGATCGGCTAAACGGCTAATATTACTAGCATTTCTAGTTGACACCCAAGGCAACATAAGGAAGTCATTAAGAGACCTTTCATCTAGAGATCTTCAATTTGTCTATTCTCCATAGTCAAGGTCAATTATCAATTCAAGGCACAAAAACAAGCCAAATCCCCCCTAAATTTCAAAAGCAAAGCCAAAATAATTTATTTTTCTAAAAAATAACACCAAAATCCAACTCCAATTATAACAATCAAGAAAACAACTAAAAAATCAATAAAAAGGAATTCCAAAAATACCTCACACTTGGCTGCAACCTCCAATCCTCCATTTGCTACAGTTTAAGCAACGCAAAAGTATGAGTCCATGAAAGAAACCAGGCTGAACTAGCTCCTCAACCAGCCAAGAATCGGGCTACTACTCTCAACCATAATTACTCTGAGAAGAACAAGCCACTATTTTACAATACCCTCCAATTCTACCCTAGTGGTGAAATAACCCCAACCTTGTTGGGTAATATACATTCCAAGTAGCTTTTTGATAACTAAAACAAGAGAATACTCCAATGGACTCAGCAATAGTAATATAATGACACAAGGACTCTCTGGTCCAAGTGTTCCTGTTGCATCATCTATATGACACATACATCTTAAAATGCATTAAGCAGTCATTTAGAGTTTTAGAGCCAATGTTATAATTGAAAGGTAAGATTTAAAATTAAAAAAAAAAAAAATCAACAAGTAATACTGGAAGTTAAGGATCGTGATAAATATAAAAATAAATTAACCATAGTTGTCCATAAACACCCTTCTAACAACCAAATATACCTAATATGTCAAACCAATAACCTACATTACAACTACAAGCATAATATGCCAGTCCATTCTACAGAAACTAACAACCTAAAGTTGGATCCGTGCACTACATCATTTCTGATTTCTGGACGTTGAGGCTTTACAGGGTTGAATGAATTGCTATAACTCAAAACCTCGCGACATATATCTCCACAGAACACCCGGAAGTTAGCCAACACAATGAGAGTTGAATTCAATGGCACAGCAACTATGGATTTTAATAACGGAATTTGACCTTTGATTAACTTCACGGACCCAGGCTCTCCAAAAAGAATACTCTGATAATACTTTCTCGCATAATGAGAAGAATATCCAAAGTTACCATATCTGCAAACAGCCCACCCACCAACTTCAACTCGCACGTCTGTTGAATCCAAACATTCTAAGCTAAACTTAAGTTTAGCTTGTACAGCATCGCTGAAAATTGTGTAATGCAAAGTTGCAAAACCATATTCCTTTTACAACTGAACAGATGCGCCTATTATACCAGGAACTAATTGTGCTCAAATCATATGTCGCATATCCTGAGCTGATTTCTCGTCCCTCATCGTCCTTCAAATCACAGTATATACCAAAATATTCACCTCTATAACAAGAACGGGGACCTTTTAGTCGAACATTTTCATTGGGGAATAAATCGACAGGCAATTTGTCTCCATCAAAAAGAACCGTGTTTCTTGATCCATCAGTTGCCTTAATAATTCCCTTGAGGCGAAATGAATCACAATCACCGCAAATAGGATGTACAGACACTGAAAAAATCTCCATAAGTGCATCACGATCATAACTGTCAGAATATGTGTTCCTAGAGAGAATACAAAAAAAAAAAATGAAAGTTATTTCACACCATAGTACAACAACAACATCGACTTTCAAAAGTGCTTTTATGCAATGCTCGTTAATATAGGAATCAACAATAATAACCTAGGCTATTTTCAAAAAGAAAAGGAAAGCAACCTACCATTCCATCTCCCTCAAATGTTCCAAATGTGGTTGAATATAAATGAGCTATAACAAAAGAAAGAACCAAGTCAAGTTTGTTATCTAAAACATGAATAAAACATCAAACAAATGCACTATTACATAGTACTAACCCGGTCTTTCTTTAGAAATTTATTTGTTGGCCTCGTAAAAGTAGGCATCTCAATCATCAAGTTCACATACTGATCTTCAAAAAATTCTATGATATTTTCATCAAATCCCCTTTCAAATGTTTTCAGCCCTTTCCATTCACTTATCGGATATTCAAGGAGGACACTTTTAGCCGGTGCAAACTCAACAAACACTCGGATACAAGATTTCTCCCTAAAAATTTTATCTTGAAAGGCTAAGCCGGGTTTGCCATAAGGTTCAAATTTCAAAATAGCAGCAACATTGTCATCATTAACCTTGATATTTGAATGAATTTGAAGCACGGAATGGCTAGGAACAGCAAATGTCGACGATATATTCACAGCACCGTAGGTCAACTCCTCTGACTTATCGAAAATAGTACGATCTATGAACGACATATCACTCATTTCATTGCTAGCAGTAATCGTACCGCTAACTTGAGCACATATAGCCTCGGTGTCTTCACCATTATTTTCAACTACAATAGACACACAAGCTACGAGGGCACAATGAAATATAACATAACTCACATAAATTGTGTGATAAAAGTCAAATTGTTGTACTTTGTCGTAAACAACGAAGTTAGTACAATCAAAAAATTTGCAATCATCCACAATCAGCGGCGGACCTGCCTTTGTGCCTGGTGGGTCAAATCACCAGGGCACAAAAAAATTATTAAGTTTCTTAAAAAAAAAATTAAATAAATAAATTAGTTTGTTAATTATTGTGATTATTATTTTAGGTCAATTTTAAGCTTGTTAATTATAAGTTAGTATTGTAATCTTGTCAATTTTCTATTTGGATGATCTTTGTAAATAATTTTTCTTAGGAATTTTGGTAAAAAAATTTTTTTACATATTTAGTTATCGATTGTGACTCACCAGTCGGAAATTCCTGGGTCCGCCACTGTCCACAATTACTATACTACGATGCTTGTCTCTAAGATAGAAATCAACATAAAATTTACTCGGCAAACAGTGAGGGCTGTCAAAATCAGAACTTTGGAGGATTACCGAAGAGTCACTTGTGCCATCTAAATAGACAAATTTAGCCTCAACGGACTTTCTTTTAAAGAAAGTGAATTCATTACCATATTCATCAATTAGGCGAATATGACCAAATATTTGAACAAAGAGAGCCTCAGACTTATCACCGGCTTCCATCAATCCGTGATTAATACCCTCAAAGACAGTAATTCTAACAATGGTGATCCTTCGATAGCAAAGTAGGTAGGCTGCCGAGTGGGTGATGTTCGTCTCTTAATACAACTACCATTTTTGAGAGGATTGTCCATTGTGCCTACCATATATAAATTTCAAACAAGTATTACAATTTCGCACAATAATAAAGAGAAGAGGTCTAAGTTCATAGGTTAATCCTAAAATTGAAGGGTTCTACAATACATTAAAAGCCAAATTTGATTAAATTATCAAAAAAGGCTCGTGATATTAGGGATATTCGGTTCAATTATCAAATTAGGCTCATAATTTTCGTAATGATAGTTATTAGAACCCATAGTTTGGATTTTCCATTATAAATTTCAGACAAGTATTACAATTTTGCACAATAATAAAGAGAAGAGGTCTAATTTCATAGGTTAATCCTAAAATTGAAGGGTTCTACAATACATTAAAAGCCAAATTTGATTAAATTATCAAAAAAGGTTCGTGATATTAGGGATATTCGGTTCAATTGTCAAATTAGGCTCATAATTTTCGTAATAAAATAGTAATTAGAACCCTAACTAATCTAACAGCACAGACAATTAAATTAAATTATATCAAATATAAACCCTAAATTGTGAAATTGATATGATGAACACAAAAGGAAACAAGAACTTACCACAGAATCTGCTTCAATGGGGGATACAAGTATGGAGAACGGAGAGGAGAGGGACGAGAGAGGGCAAAAGGCTACGATGATCCGTATTTTTCTTTTATTAAAGGGAGAGTGTCATGTTATTAAAGTGTGTAGTAAACAATGAAGAGCCTAAGTCAGACTAGTCCGCGACCCTATCGCAGTCCACCTACCTTTACCGCAGCCTATCCTGCTCAACAAGTTAACTTCCAATAACAACAACAACAACAACAACAACAACAACAACAACAACAACAGTTTAGTCCGCGACCTGCTCGCGGGGGAGACCCATATACCACAGCTTGCCCACTGCTTCCACCAGCTATAGTGAATGTTATTGTCTCTAAATTCACTTCACTTTGTCAAAAAAAAAAAAAAAAAAAAAAAAAATCCACTTCACTATTCTTAAGCTTAATTGACTATGCCTTACTACCTAAAATTAAAAGTGTAAATTTTTTTTGTAGGAATAAGATAGAGTAGAGGTTAAATGCATTATATTATTTCAATAATTTTGATAAGAATTGATGAGCAACAAGGGAAATTTGAATATAGGGGTAAAGATAGGATAAATATTGTAAGATTATGTTGAGTAATCACCAAAGATTATTGTCATAATCATGAATTAGTTTTGGTTATTAATAAATATATCACTAGTTCTTATTTAAGTTGAACTTACATCAAGTTATTATAAGACGGATTAAAGCTACCCTCAAATTGACCATCTTTTAGTACACTTAACGTAAGTTTGCTTATACAAGACTTATTGTGCGTGTCCATCGGTACTAAAGCCCCTAAGTATATTAGGTCAACCCTAAAAATAAAATGAATTTAGTCAGATTTACTATTACTAGATATACAATACTGTTATGATTAATCACAGCCCATACTTGCTTTAGTCATACAACTTCCTATCATAAACTGAGTTTCTTAATACACTTCAAAGTAAAAATGAAATGAGGAAAACACAATTGGGCTAAGAACAAACAAAGAAATTATCCCAACTCACAAAATCATCTGCTTTTGTGAAACCATTGACCCCAATCACAAAATCATCTGCTTTTGTGTTCTCACTGCTCTCAAAATCCGTTGTGTAAGACATGCCAGAGCAAGCATCTAGGATTTTTCTTAGATGCTAAATTCCAAGACAGAATTTTATCAACTAAAGATTCAGATTCTAAACCTTCATAACTATACATTGGATATGTGGTCAGACAGGTCAGTAGTCTGAAAGTGAAGGTTACATAATAGCGTGAAATTTTTTTTTTAATTCATTTTTTGTTTTTGAAAAATAGTTTGAATATATAATCCTTGTTTTACAAAAATATTAAGATTGGGAGAAATTATGAAATTTTAACATTGATTTAGTGTCACAATTTTTATTTGTACATGTAATTTTGCCACATTGATTGGATTTAGCATGCATGAAATTGCATATGGAATGTGGCATAACTATGACATACACAGGACGTGTTATGTAGGAATGAGAGTGTGGGGATTAGAAAATGGGATAAAGATACGAGATCAGAGATACTATGCTAAAACAATTGACATAAGCTAGACTCCTGATCTCTCCTCTTGTCAATAGCGATATAAATCTTCTGTACATGAGTGTGGGCTGCACTGTGGGAGCAAGCAGGGCCAGATCTTGCTATGGGTTATGTTGGCTACCTTGTGTGGTCCGACTGCGGGCCAAATGTTAGGCCATGTATATTTTAGGCAGCCATGTTATGGTTGCAGGTCTAGGCTTTGATTTAAGAGGGTGCATGATTTCTCTTTCAGCTCATTTTTCACTAACTTAATTGGTCTGCTTCAAGAGATCATGAACCACGGTACCAGACTAGCAGTTACCCCTTCCAAGTACATGCTCGAAGGCTCAAAAATCTTCAAGTGTTCGAAGGTTCAAAGAGTCGTGGATTCATGCCATAACTCGAGAAAAATAAATGATGCAGAATGAAGGAGCTGATGAAAACTGTGAGCACCATGCCCGACCCTTGTCATACTAATGATTTCTAAGTTACTTAATTTTGCTACCAAGACTTGAATACTTTATCACTATAAAGAAATATAGCAGATGCTTCAAACACTGTATACTAGATGAAAATTTGTTGCTGAAAACATTTTTACTTGAACCTAGACCATACAATGTTAAATTTTGAGAAAATTGGAATTGGAGCTGAGCCATGTCTATGAAGAAAGAGGAAAATAAAACCACTTATAAGCCTAATTAAGGTTTTATCCCAAAAATCAATGAAGGGAGCAACTCCAACAGCTTATAAAGTGGTTACTTTCTCTCATCTTCACCGGTGTGTAACAATTCACACCTGTACACATATATGGAGTTTCAGCCTGAGCAATATCATTTATCCGTAATCACTTACTTCAGCGATGGTAACAATGGCCACAGTGAATCCACTCTACTTACAAAGAACACCCAGTTTAAGTTATGGAGTTTGTCCTCAGGGGCATGCCAAGATAAGGGACTTCATATGAATGTTTTTTTAAAGCCTATGACTTTGGCTTTTTACATGCAAGAATAAACTTCAAGTCCCAAGGTATAATCAGGATTATGGGGCCTTCAGTAAGCATATTTGCATTTTGCGATCTGAAAATGAAGATAGCAATCAGATTATTCTTAGACTCGGTATGCAATCTCAAAAGGAAGATAAACTATCAGTCATTGCTTAGAAATTACAGGCAAAATGCAGAAGTAAGCTACCAGTTCTAAGACTCCAAACTATAGCAGATACTTGAATCAAAATAAATTTCCCACCACTCCCATATTAATTATTAAAATTCGCATACTATACGTTCTATTTATCTGCTTTAGAGGAAGGAAAGAATCAGACAAAAGGTTCATACATGAAAATGGAAAGGTGCTTGTTTGGTTGACATGGGAAGTAGAAGCTCCTAAGAAGTGGAAGAATGAGAAGTTTATTTGGCAGGCAAAAATGTAGTTAGTGACCTAGGGCCCCTCAAGCAGGTGGAACTTCACGTGACCAACCAAGCAGCTTATTGCACTTCCTAGTAAATGTAACTTCATACATCTTCCTAAAAAATGTTCAACCTAAGAGCTGCTAAAACAATCAGGTTGAGGGCCGGTATACAAAGGTAGCAAGTACAAATTCCATTCCTTATCCCCCCCCCCCCCCCCCCCCCCCACCCAAAAAAAAAAAAAAAAAAAAAAAGAGAAAGAGAGAGAGAGACCAGCCAAGGTTCTAAATTCCAACAATTTGCCACAACTGGAGCTCATGAACCATTATTTCAAAAAGTGACATTTTCCAATATCACCACTGAAAATACGACATTAAAGAAACACCATGATATTTAGTTAGCAAATTACAGTTATAAGTAGTAATAACCTGATTCATTTTTCCGGCTCACTTTTAAAAGATCTAACAGGAACAACACTTGCAGAATCACCATTAGTTCCAGGAACATAGTCCATTCCCTGTGTCTTAATCAGCCAGAGGAATACCAGTTATCAGCAACATATTTTATATTATTTAAAAAAGGCAAATTATTATAAACGAGTCGCGACATGCACCTGGTTATTGTTAGGAGACTGCCCAGAAGTCCTTTGGGGTCTGGCATTAAGATCAATCATTTTGTTATCCATTTGAGCATCAGAAACACCATTACCATCTACATGTACTACATGATTTTGCTCCTTCTCCATCACAATTGCGTCAGATGATTGATTTGGTTCCCTCCTAACTTCCATTTGATCACCTTGTGTCCCTTGTGAGCTCATGTCTTCAACATTGACATATTTATCCCCTGGAAACTACATGCAAATACCCATCAGTGACGGAATTTAAGTAAATTAAAACAAAATCCCTAAGAAAAGAAAAGATGCAACAAGCAGACCAACACTAATCAGTAATCAGCATTGAGACACAGACCTCTGCTCTCTGCCTCAATAAGAGATATCGTCTGTGAGTTCTTTTACCGCCAACATGAACAACCATGTCGCATTGCAGGCAAAGCGAACTCCCATCAATCTCGCAATAAAAGAAAGCTGCATACATGGGCTAATCAATCAACTCTACAGTAGGAAAACAAAAACACCACTCTGATGCAGAAAGCTACCCACCAGGTGCATTTTCGCAAATGTCACATTTTGGTACAGCATTCGGGGCAGCAAGTCCAACACGTATATGTCGACTAGCAAGCTTGTTACACATATGAACCTGCCACTCCAACTCATTAAAATTATATATTAAAAAAGGAATTCTTTTGTACATCAAGTATTGGTCCAATATGAATATATGATCCATAATAAAAATATCAAAGCTCTCAACTGTAAATTAACACACTAGTCTAGACTCTAAAGAAAGATACTCAGTATAAAAAAACAATAAGCTAAAATAAAAGGTTTTTAAGGCTATGAAGTAAGATCAGTCTTCTCAACAGCAAAACAGAAATTTGCTGTATTAGGTATTTGGTAACAAAATAGTACTGTATTAGTTTGTCAGAAAATACCTTTTAAAACATGAATTTTGTGAGACAACAGCCAAAAAAAATTTATTCCTATTCTATTTAAAATACACCAGCCAATTAGTTAAGTTCCATGCCATTTTGCCACTTACTAACTTTCCCAATCTTTCATGTATGTCACATGCACACTGTGCATCTTCCTCCTTTCTTCCTTAACTGCTGTTCATTCTTCCTCATTACTAATTATAATTTAATTAATTTTTTCCACTAATAACTGATTTATTTATCAAGCATACTGTGAGCATAAAATATGCTCACTCAAATCAGTCCATATAGATTTATTCAATTTGATTTGATGAATAATAGGTACTACATCCTTAGACCTCTGTTACAAAATAAATTTTATTTTTTTTTATTCCGAAATTAAGAGAAAACACTGATTAGGAGAAGGATAAACAAGACCAATTCCATTTCCAAAGCATAATTCTGACACTAAAGTACTGAAAGAAGAAACTAAGATTATATTTTCTCAGAATTAAGGAAAAAAAAAAAAAAGGCACCTAAATCAATATTGTTTTGCTGGACTTACTCAAGAAAAATATATTCATATTCTATCACCATCAACATCTTTTTTTATTCACCTTAATAATTCCACTACAAGTTATCTCCTAAATTACACCCCATATAAATAAGAATTTTATTCAGGTACAGGTGGAGTATCGATTAATTAAAAAACCTATCTTTAACTCTTTATAGTTTATATTCCCAAGGTTCAAATTTTTACTCTGAATGGTTGGCTATAGAGGTCTAATTCTTCTTAAGTTGCAGTAACACTAGAATTTATGCTATTTGCACAGAGATCAGTAGATTTACTTTCACATCAAAATCATCTGAAGTAAACAACAAGGAATCTGTGGATGATTCAAGCTACAAATAATTGTAGGTTTCATACTACAGGTAATCAGAATGCACTGCCATCACACAGCTTATACGTCAAAAGTCAAAACACAAAGTTGAAAAATACATTTCTCTAATCTCTTCCTCTATCTTTGCCAATGCCTGTTACTATATATATTTGCCAAATCAAAATTGAACTTCAAGCAAAATGCTTCCACAAACTACAATAGGGAAAGAAAAGAAAAGGAGAAGAGAACGGGAGGAGGGAGTAAAAAGAAGCTGGAGGAAAAGATGGAACCAAAGCGAGAGATAAGGCTAAGTGAATAGGTGTGAGGAAGAACACCGCTTATAAGTTATAACTTACAAGAATCTTTTTAAATCAATCCTACTTTACATTTACTGATAACTACCAAAAGCGGTCAACCAGAATAAACATCCTTGTGACGAGTTCCACAAAAGAAATAGGGCCCCAAGTCCGTAGGATAGAACCTAAATATAACACCGAATATTCTTTTCCGGTGAGCAAAGGTAATGCAAACAAATGGAACTCCAGATGCCCAAAGAAGCAAAAATGTAGCTTAGACCTATTCAAGCTCCTAAATTACACCTGGTAACAACAATGCTTCCAGACTGAGGAGATTATATAACAAAACATACGCTTCTATGTGAGAATGTAGCTTTTGTCAGGAGCATCAAGCAAAGTTGATGGAAGACATTTGATCCCATCAGCTGGTCCTTAACCAGAAAATACACAACAAATGACAGCAAAACACCCTAACCCAATTATCCCCACCTAACACCCTGCCTCCACCCCACATCTTATACCATAAAAGAGACAGTTTAATGGAATCCTCCACATCTTGAAACAAGTCACATTCAAGATTTTCCCTCCACACAACTCCGGGCTGACTCGAAACTCAACATGTGCAACCACATGTCACATTCAATTCAAACTTCCCATAAACACCACAGCCACTGACAAGCCAAACTAACCTTACTGTATGCAAATGCCAAATATAGCATTGTATGTGGCCCGAACTTTCTTCTTCCCGGATAGCTTAAGCCTAATTTCAGTATTTTCTGAAAAATTCACATTACTACGAAGTACAGGTACTGGACTACTGGTTATACTTTAGAAATCCTTATTAAAAAAATTTCCCAAACAACCTATTGGGTAATCATATCAAAAACTTTCTAGAACCACTAGAATTTCCAACCACACATAGTGCACCCATTAACTTGTATAGATATGGATGGCCTAAGATCGAATCTTGTCTACATCATTTGCATGTTAGTTGCTCTCTCTACATCACCAAGCAAAAAAAAAAAAAAAAGAAAATCACTTTGGATAAGCTTGATTCTTCCACTTACCTAATTTGAATACTAGATTTTGAACACAAACCCAAAAAACTACCAATTAAGCTAAATCACTAAATCTAATGAATACATTAAATTGGTAAGGCAATTAAAGTAGCAATTAATCAAAACCCCATCAAAAAATCATTAAATCAACAACAATCAAATTAATACAGACTAATCAAAAATTACCAAAAAATCAAAAGAACCCAGATAAAAGAAAGTACCTTCTCATCACAAGCACGGCAAAGCGCAGCCTCATCAGCAGCACAAAAGAAGATTGCAGCAGCACCTTCACAAACATCACACAAAGTCCTCATTTTTCCCTCTTTCTTTCTCCAAATTCTGAGCTTCAAGTATCACAAAATCATATTTTTGGATGGAATTTCCATGGATTTGATGATGGGCAATTCAAAAAATCAATAAAGATTGAAACTTTGGGTTGTATTTGATGGAAATGGCAGATTGAAGAAGAAGGGTTATAATAAAATTAAGTATAAGTTGTTTGGGTCCAATTTAGTCAAAATTGGGCCGGAGCACTAAATGATCCAATTAAAAGCCCAAGGTCAAGGTTCAACTCTCCAATTGCTCAAAAGTCAAAAGTCAGCCCACAAAGTAAGCCAATTGGGCTAAAGCCCAACCTCTCCAAGCATGATGAGGTATAAAAGCCCTCATATTGACATCTCATAACATCACATACACTATCAGACACAACAACACATGCATCATCACTTGCATTATCTCATACACCGATTATTGCAGCTCATATGCTCATTCTCGCATTGAGGAATACTCCACAAAAGCCTCAAGCTACAAACTCTCTTGCATAGTGTCTTCCTTTTTACACATTGTACTGACTTTAGCATCGGAGGGGCCTTCCTCGGAAACACCCCCGAGGCTAGTTTACGTGTGTTCACTGTGCAGGAAACCTTCGGCCCAACACAGCTTGGATCGAATCCAGTCTTCTCCATTTTAGTGGACCTTCGGCAAGGTCCCATTGTTTTCAACCGAAACAATTTGGCGCCGTCTGTGGGGAAGACTTTCAAAAATCTTTAAGCCAAATTCCTAACCAAGATCATCTTGCAATTGTCTTAGCAGCCATGGCTAAGAACCGCAAGAGCAAAAGCCTCCGTCAAGGAGCGGGCGAAAAGCCTAAAACCCCTACACCATCGCCCTCGCCGGACCGGAACTCTCCCAAGGGTGCCGGCTCGGGGGGAGGATCACACAAGGAGGATTCCCTATCTCCTATAATGCATGACTCTCAATATAGGCCGGACCACTCTCGGTCTAGCAGGGGTCAGTCTGATCATAGGACATATTCGGTGTCCCAAAGCCAACCATCGGCTGCACGGCCTCATTACCACACTCGGCCGGGGACCCCTTTGACGGGGCCCAGTTCGGAGGAGGTGGCAAGAGCGCTGGCAGTACTCATGGAGGCAATGAGGGCACAGAATATGCCACCGCCTCGTGATCGAACTCCTCCGCATACCCGGCATCAGCGGAGGAAGTTAGACCATGACGGTGGGAAGCTTCCTTCCTTCCGGGAACTGGAAGAGTGGGAGGAGGATTCTTGGAAAAATGAAAAACAGAGGAAGAAGAACTCTCAATTATTTAAAGGATCCTCATCCTCAAGACCAGCAGCGCATAAGAGCAGCAGCTCAGCTTCTCGGCCAGAATCTACTCGCCGGGAACCTGAGACTGCTCGCAGAAGCGTCCTTGACCGACTCGGCGGCCAGGAACCGAGCGTGCGTAGTCGCCTCACGTTCCCTGCAGCCGAGGCCCAGACTTCCCAGCCAGGGACGAAAACCACTCCTACCTCTCTGAGAGGGCGGAGCGCGGTCCCTTCGGCCAGGAACAAGGGCAAGGCCATTATGCTTCCCGCTAGTTCACCATTCGAGCAATGGATACTAGAAGAGCGCGTACCCACGGTTAAAATACCGTCGCATATCACATATGACGGGACCACGGATCCGAAGGACCACGTGGCCTCGTATGAGACTCATATGCATCTTTGCCCCAGATCCGAGGCGACTTGGTGCAAATATTTCCCAACCACTCTCAAGGGGGTCGCGCAAGCGTGGATCTCCAAGGGAGTAAGGCAAGGCTCCATAACAGGTTGGGATGATCTGTCCTCCAAGTTCAGAAGCAAGTTTTCCACGGCAAACCGCCGAGAGAAGACTACCGCAGAGCTCATGGGTCTGCAACAGGGGGAAACTGAAAGCCTCCGAGACTACCTGACCCGTTTCAGTAACGAGTCATCAAGCGTCTCTCAGCTGGACCAGGGGCTAGCTGTTTTTGCAATGCAGAATGGCCTTCAGCCAGGAAAATTCCTAGACTTCATGGTCATGCATACCCCGCAGACCTTGGAGGAAGCTCTTAGTGCTTCGGATAAGTTCATCCGAGCCGAAGAATGGAATAAAGCAAAAACCCAACCTCAATCCGGGGGAGGGAAACAGAGGCAAATACCCTTGTCTGAAGGCCAAAGCCATAAGGCAAAGGGAAAATCAAAGGCCTCGGAGCCATCTTCGGCCAGCGACCTAAAGAAGGACAGGTTTGCCTCATACACAGGCAGATACGAGTCCTACACTCCGCTCTCTCTTCCACGCGCCAAAATTTACAGTGTGACGAAGGAGGAGCAGAGTTACCGAAAGCCGAGACCACTCCCAGAGTGGTATCAGCGAAAAAATAAAAATCAGTGGTGTGAGTTCCACGAGTCTTCGGGCCACAACAATGAAGAGTGTATCCAGCTGAAGGACCAGATAGAAGACATGGTCCGGAAGGGATACTTGAAAAAATACATCGCGGATCACCGCGAGAAAAAAGAATCCGAAAGGTTAGCAAAGGACCCTCGGCAGGACCTTGATTTCCCTCGGAAAAACAGTAAAAAACCGGAGGGGAAATTCCCTCCGATCAATGTTATCTCGGGAGGAATATACTCTCGGAGGGAGCACAAGCGTCACCTTAGAGCTTTGACTCACCAGGTGAACAACGCTGACATTCAATCTCCCCAGTCGCCGGTGCCGAACATGACGTTCACAGCCGCCGACTGCCGGGGGATTACGTTCCCTCACGAGGATCCGTTGGTGATCATCGCCACGGTGGCCAACCACGACGTCAGTAAGGTCCTTGTTGACGGTGGCAGCGGAGCAAACATTCTGTTCCGAAAGGCCTACAACCAAATTAAGCTGAAGCCCAAGCACCTTACGCCGGTACCCTATCCGGTATCCGGGTTCAATGGGGCTTCAACTTATCCAGATGGGAAGGTGACGCTTCCTGTCACCATCGGTTGCGATGAGGCAGCCCGGAACGTCATGATTGAGTTTTTGGTCATCGACGCTCCTTCAGTGTACAACGTGATTTTGGGGAGACCCATAATTCACGAGATCCAAGGGGTCGTCTCAACTTATCATCAGCTGATGATTTACGTCTCAGACGCCGGCTTCCCCGAAAGGATACAGGGCAACCAGAAGGACGCCCGAAGGTGCAACTACCTCAAGCCATCCAGTAGTCGCCAAGATAACGACAAGGATGAAGAGGAGAAAGAAAAAGAAAGAGAGCCAAGCACAAAAAAGCCGAAAGGCCTAAGTGCTTCGGCCCAAGGATCAGTGCCCAGAGAAAAAGGTCCCGAAAGGGAAAAGGTTGACTCTTCATCTGAGCCGAAAGACTCAGAGAGCCAGCCGAAGAACACAAAGACTGGGACACCTGCTGACATTGGCAGCAGACCAGATTCTGAAGAGTCCAGTCCATCAGCAATGGACATGGACCAACAGACTGAAACAGCAGAGTTGGCCGAAGGAGATGCTGAGAAATGTGTAACAATCGGGATGGACCTTGATCCTAACACCCGTTGTGAACTTATTCAGCTCCTGCGGGATAACAGAGATGTGTTTGCTTTCTCGGCAGCTGATATGCCCGGGATAAGTTCAGACCTCATCTCCCATAACTGAAGGGTCCATGCAAGGCCTCTCAAAATTGGGGATCTTGTCCTTCGGAATGCTGCTGCAGTTCAGAAAGGCCGAATCCATGGGAAGCTCTCAGCTACATGGGAGGGACCTTATGAAATTTACGATGAGCTTCAGCCAGGGACATACCGACTTCGGCAGTTGGATGGAACTGAGTTGAAGAATCACTGGAATGCTGATGTACTGAAAAAATACCATGTGTAAACCCTTCGGGGCAGAACAATCTTTGTAAGTACATTTTGAACTAATGACAGGCCTTGGAGCCGCCATTTATATAAAATTTACAACTGTTTATCCTTTCAAAATTTTCTTTGTTCTATCTACTCTTTGAGGGTTTTTTATTCAGCCTCGTCTGAAGCCTTCGCCTTCGGGTAACTGGGTTTCAGATTGCTGACAAAACCTGTCTTTTTAAAGAACACCGGTCTTTCAGCTGAAGTCAAACTTCAGTAAGACTTGTTCTCCAAAGACATGAGTCCATGGACAATTCTGGGATATTGCCTTAACTGAGCCTTGTATCCCAGAGAGCCATTATCCGAAACATTGCCTTAAGTTGGCCCTGTGTTTCGGGTATCCATTTTTCAAAGATAGCCAGAAAATCAAGGATAACAGCAACAGTTGAAAATTTTTAAACCAGCCTCGTCTGAAACCTTCGCCTTCGGGTAACTGGGTTTCAGATGGCTTACAAAACTCAGTCTTTTTAAAGAACACTGGTCTTTCAGCTGAAGTCAAACTTCAGTAAGACTTGTTCTCCAAAGACATGAGTCCATGGACAATTCTGGGATATTGCCTTAACTGAGCCTTGTATCCCAGAGAGCCATTATCCGAAACATTGCCTTAAGTTGGCCCTGTGTTTCGGGTATCCATTTTTCAAAGATAGACAGAAAATCAAGGATAACAGCAACAGTTGAAAATTTTTAAATCAGCCTCGTCTGAAACCTTCGCCTTCGGGTAACTGGGTTTCAGATGGCTTACAAAACTCAGTCTTTTTAAAGAACACTGGTCTTTCAGCTGAAATCAAACATCAGTAAGACCTGTTCTCCAAAGACATGAGTCCATGGACAGTTCTGGGATATTGCCTTAACTGAGCCTTGTATCCCAGAGAGCCATTATCCGAAACATTGCCTTAAGTTGGCCCTGTGTTTCGGATATGCGTCTTCTTTAAGAACGCTGGTCTTTCAGCTGAAGTCAAATTTCAGTAAGACTTGTTCTAAAGAGGTTAGTCTCAGTAAGACTTGTATCCCAGAAGCATTGCCTTCAGTTGGCCCTGTGTTTCGGATATCCAACTTTCAGACAGTCAATCTTCAGTAAGACTTGTATCCCAGAAGCATTGCCTTAAGTTGGCCCTGTGTTTCGGATATCTATTTTGAAGAAGTTCAGAAATTGCTTATTCAACTAAAGTCATACTTCAATTTCTGTGGGGGCAAGAAGCACGCAGTGCAGCTATGTTCGGCAGAGTTGAAGAAAAGAAACAGTAAAGCATTCAAAAATAAAGCAACTGAAAAAAAAAAAAAATTTGAGCTACAAGTTCAATAAT